TTGTGAAGTGGTTCACTCTTGTAAGAGGTGATCATTTTCATGTTTAATGTTTGGGTAAAGTGATGGATCACCAATCCTTGGATTGAAACAATTTATTTTAAATTGCTAGTTTATCGATTTGTTAAATTACAAAACATGAATTCCAATAAATTTGATTTAATATAAAAATTATATGAAATGAAAATTTGTTCATTTACCCAGGCAAAGTTAGAGCCACATGGCCCTTCTTACACTTAACCTGTGCTTATACTTAAATATCATACAAATATTTTACAAAATCAGTTTACAATAAAACAAAACAGAAATCACAGATACAGATAATTTTAAATTTAACAAATACTTACACATTCACACATACGTGTCAACGATCACACATGCGCACAAGCCCCTAGGACAAACCAAAATAGAGATTTTTCAGTTTTGCCACAAACCGGGAACGACTATCAAGAGATTTAATAGCTCAAGGGAGGTCGTTCCAAAGACGGCAAGCAGTTACAACAAACGCTCCGGTCCTATGGTGAGGAATACGCAAAGTGAACAATGCATAGCGTGAGTACCTAACACTTTCTTCAGCAACAAACCTAAAATCATCCACATAATATTGCCACACACGAATTTATTTAAAATTTGAATGGCTTAAATATGTTAAGTATAATGTTTTATATGTTAAGATTCTTTGACATCTAACCGTTTTACTGACTCATCTTGTATAGTTTAATTTATATTTTTGGACAGAAGATTTGTCTCCATTGTGGTATTTAACAGTTTACTCGGATTTTGTACATATGGAATTAAAATATACCTTTGAAAATGTAGACCTTAACGTATAAACACTGTAAAAAATCTTTTGTAGGCCTACCTCGGATATTATATCCTAGTACTGAATTGAATTATTCATATAATATCAAATACTAATTAAATTGTTCTTTGGTCGTTACTACTGAAAGAACGAAATGCTAAAAAAACTTAGATGGTACAGTAATGATTTTTTTGTCTCAGTCACTGTGATTTTCGTCACTACAGCATTTATATTATTTGTTTCGTGTTGGTGATACTTTAATTGTATTAAAACGTTGTAGTAAACACAAAAACAAGAAAATTACTTTGCTTGGCCAAAATCTGATTCAGTTCTATGATTTGATCTGATAATGTGTGCAACGATTGGCCTTACCTTTTACTACTTACGTACCAAGTTTCAAGTCAATAGCTAAAGGAGTTCGAAAGTTATGAATTCATTTTGAAAATCACATACAGACAGAAAACCAGACATCTTAGACCCATGTTTATATGCTGTTATTGCATTGTTTTGACCTAAGGAACAAATATACAAAGGAATCCAGATAGTTCCGAGAGACCCTGTATAAAGTTAATTAATAAGGGAGACGAACTTTTAATAAAACCGTAAACCTATCAACCGTCTACTTGAATAAAAGGTCTTAATGAGAAACTTCCCGGAAAAGTATTAGGTTTCCTATAAACCCTCTCTTTTCATTTAAAGGGTGCGAACTTTAGCTTAAGGGTTAATCACACATAATACAGTATATTGAATGTTAGCTCGTACATTTTAAATTGTTTATTTGTTATTTTTTCAGAGTTAACCTTTTGATCCTTGCCATATATTTTCAGTATCATTTTCTTATGATTTGGGACAATATTTAATTTTATGAAGGCTTATATACACACCTGCCAATATTTTACTTACATATTAGTTCAGTTTACATATAAAAAAAAAACACACTGTACTTGATGCTGCAGACAAATGTTTTGTATAACCACGTGAAACAAGAACCATATAGTTTGGAAGGAGCCTACTTTTATTTATACATCTTCCAATATTTTATTTACATATTAGTTCAGTTTTCATTAAAAACACACACACACACACACACTGTACTTGATGGGTTTGATCTATGAGTTCCAACTGTTAAACAATTCTTCGTGGACTTTGATTTTATGTATTTACATTAAGAACAAACCTCGACATTACATTTCGTATTGGACGAGGCAGTGAAGAACCACAATATCTACTCGACGTTCGCTCCTGCTGTGAAGCACGGGAAACAAGTAGTACGAACAAATATAGTTACTGCATTCAACATTTATAATCAACAGATAACCTTAATTACGATAGCTGCAAACCAAATTTTAAGCCCCCGATTTCGGTTGTAGTGTACAGCCCAAAATACCAACCCGTCAACCCTCCCGGGTGTATTGCAGGGTTTTATTATATTTTATATTACAAATCGAGATGGGGACGCCATCTAGGTGCGCATTATATCCCAAATATGAGTGTAGAATACAGTGAGATGCCTTTTGCAGCCTTATACTAAGATCGGCTGTTTCATTAGCCAGGGTTCATTTATTAAAAGCCCAATGATCATGGAAAGCTGGGATCATTTAGAATAATCAAAAGCTACATACTTTACTCAGGATCGAACTGGCGACCTTTTGATTATCAAGCTAGATTGAAGGTGACAGGATGGTTAGATTATTAAATAACTATTATAATATTATTTAGACTAGTTCATCTATAGTTGGATCCTTGTGAAATCAAGCACTGTACTACTTTTCCTTACCTTTGTTTGTGAGTGTAATCACTGAAAACAGACTTTAAAATCATTTGGATTTTTTTTAGATGGGGAAAACGTCAAAAATATATACAGGGCATTCGACGAGGCTTAGACGTTTGAATATTTATCTAGGCTATTCGTTTTGAAACTTTTTACAATTAATTTAGGCTATCAAATATGTTTTCGCAAGTATTTAATAAAAGTTTTAGCTTCTTAGCATTTGTAGTAAAATATATGCCAACTTGTTCCTACAAATTTTCTAATTAAATCGTCTAGATAATAGTGTTTGTTCGTTGTAAAAGGCATCCGATCATTCCCTGTAACGTATTGGCAAAAAAAAGGATTGGATGACGACTGATTTGTTCAATGAGTCACTAGTACCATTAAGAACAGATATGAAACGCCAACGTCGTAAAATCATCTTGTTCATAGACAGTTGTTTTGTCCACAACAGCACTCTTCGTTTGTACAACGTAGAACTTTGTGAACTTATTCATTTATGAATGTCGAGCTTTATTAATTGATGATGAGGTTGCATACAATGACCTGACGAAGTTCTAAGGAACGAAACTAGTTGTCATACCAGCAACTGTGGTTGGATAAGGTAATCCTTTTATTCTATCGTAAAACTTAAATGTTTTCCGACGAAAACGTCAAAGTCAAACCTGCAGCCAAGGACCAAAGAATCAATCAAACGATTAATCTGTAAGGTGAAATGCAATCTTTGTAATTCGAATGGTTTCTTTTTCTTCCAATAAATCAAACCTCTTAAATTCAAAACACGACATGATTCAAACTTGTTCGCTACTGGGCTCTCTGATTTAGATTTATCAAGAGTTAACTGTAATATAACTATACAGGGTGTTCAAAAAAAGTGGGAACATAATTTATGTAGTGTTTTCTCGGGTTAAAATAAACAGAAAATCAAGAATAACTATTTTCCAAAGTTGCTTCGTTAATCAGATATCCGCCATTTTGTATTTTTTACATAAACATTTTTATCTTTGGATTTCTTTAACGGATCTTTATAAAACTTAGTGGTAGAAGAAAGTCGTGAAAAAACAAAAAAATCATCTTTGATTCAACTCCTAATTGAAAAATGGCAGCCATTTTAATTTTTTTAACTTAAATTATTCAAATATTGCTGATTTTATGAACAAATTTCAAGAAAACTTTTATTTAGCATTTTTAATTCCCTATCAAACGATGCCATGTTCAAAAGATTGAATAATAAATAGCTAAAATTTGAGATTTGTAGTTGTAAAGAGGGGTAGAATAAGGCTAAGCTAGTCATGTTTGCCCCTTTTTACAACTAAAAATCGTAATATTTCAGCTATTTCTTATTCGACCTTTTTGACCTTGGTATCGTTTGATTTGGAATTAAAAATTCTAAATAAAAGTGTACTAGGAATTTTATCATAAAATCAGCTAGTTTTGAATAATTTAAGTATAAAATATTAAAATGGTCGCCAATTTGAATTTGAAGTTGAATCAAGGTGAAAATTTTGTTTTAACATGGATCTCTTTCACCTTAACATAAATACTAAGTTTCATAAAGATCGGTTAAAAAAAAAAAATATGTAAAAAATACAAAATTGATGATATCTGGTCAACGAAGTGATTTTGGAGAAAAATGTTATTTTTGACTCCAGGAATCACTAAGTAAATTATGTCCCAACCTTTTTTGAACATCCTGTATATTGAAAAACTCCTGTTTATCTAAATATATTCCGATCCTAAGCTTCTGATTTCAAATAAGAATCGGTTCAAACACTGGAACCGTATACACCGTTTCAGAATCAGGCTAATTAGGAACGAAACACTACATCTCATGAAAACTTGCGATTTGCTAAATATGGTACCGTACCCATTATACTTTTAAATTAGCTTTTTGGCTGTAGTACATGAAGCATTTTCATATTTTCCATTCTACTGACTTAACAATCAAAGGAAATCATAACACACACAACAAAAGCAAGTTATATTTTATTAAAATTGAATGCATTAAGCAAAATTACATAGATTCTGTGGTCGAAAGACATTGGGTAACATCTACTACTTGTTAGATTTACAATTAGAAATAATTACAACATATAAGACTACATTATCTTATAATAATACTATATTAATATTTAGACGGTATTTAAATAATGGTGGCTCAATTATACTGTAATAAAGATGTTTTATTGTATACAGTAGAGTATATGGGTGAGGGCGATGTTATGGCAAATTAACATAAATAACAAAAATAAGCAGTAAACGTTGCAATTTTTATGTTAAAATTATTCCAGCTTTTCAAAGTCAAGAATTATTTTAAAAGTAACAATTATTTACAAAGAAATAGCTGATTAGGAAGATTTCAATGTATTTGACACTTCTTATCACTAAATACTTATATACAGGGGGAGACTAAAGTCATAAATGTATTTACAAGAGCTCATTCATTTTCATCACCTTTAGATATAAATGATGAATTAAAAAATTGTTTATTCATAAAGTAAGGTTACATTGAGGATCAACACGTCAGGAAATAAATCGTGGTTTAAAAGGATTTTCAGTTAATTAAATTTAATCTATTATCTATTACTGTATAAGTCATTTTTTGTCGATTAACTTTTTAACAATGTACCAAACGATGTTAAATTAATAATCATTATATCAAAGAATACATACAGTTTACAAGGTTTGCAGTAAACAATAAAATATAGTGTTTTGGCTGGAAACCAAGAGCCAATAACATTAAGCTAAACATTACATAAATATGCAACGCGCAATAATTCTACAGTTGAAATAGAGGTTTTTTATGTTTGGTGCAGCCACAAACTTATCTCTCACACATTGTTGAATTATTTACATAAAAATATAGCAAAATTCAGCGCTTGAAGCAAGTGAAGCTTAATAGTGTATTTTGCAACTAATGTTAAATTCCCGGATTTGTAAATTGTAAAAGCATATATATTTTTTATATTTTACGTATAAAATGTTTGACATCGTAATCGTACGTATTAGATATGCATATGAGCTGAAACCTTAAACAATTGAAGAATCTGATTCAATCGTCTTAATTATTTTAAGAATACGTTTTGCATGCGTGTTTTTTCTGAATATTAAAAACATAACATGCGATAAAATGTGCAATAACCAATTAATAATCTGTAACAAACAACGAAAATACAGTTCGTATAAATAAAACACATAACTGTAATACTTGGATATCCACAAGCCTGGTCTCAACGTTTTTTGGCACAGTCAATTGGCAGATAAGCGTTGAGGAGTAGCTACTCCAACTCGTAGTGACATCATGGGAGAGCCTACTCCCGCTGTGACGTCATCAAGTTCAAGAGCAAGCACATACACAGTCCTCGGGTACGGGATACGGGACTTTGATCCAAAGACAGCGATATTTCTTCCTTTTCTTCCTTTTGTTCATAGATTCCTGAGACCTCTGATGTTCCGTAGTCGCTGGAGTCCACACATTGTTCTCACTCTTCTTCTTCTTTCCGTGCATGTTCTTTCTGAGCCTGTAAAACATATAATCTGGACTTAGATTGGAGGAAAAAAGGAAGCGAACGAAATACAGAGTATACTCTGTATGATGTAACCTGTATCCTGACCCCCCGTCTACTTGGGGACTGGCCAATGGTTTAAAGTCCGGCCCAGTACCAGATAGACTAAGGGCCAGGGGACAGGTTCAATCATACAGACTATAGAAGAGCCCAAGTCAACATCATCCTCTGAGACTTAGATTAGAAAAATGGATGAAAATTTGATTTTGAATTTGCAACGTGATTAATGTTTTCATCTGTCTTCAGTAACCTATCGTATGATATTATCTTGAGATATCCAATACAGAGACTGTTAAACCTCATGTAACTCACGAATCCTGTTTTTTTTTTTTTTTCTAGAAGAATCTACAGCGGCTTTATCATATTCAAATTCCGATTGGAGGTTGAGGTACGCTATTTAGAACCAAAGCATCTAAAGCAGAATCCCTGCACACTAGACATTGATACCAGTCGTACCCCCTTTGGTGACTAACACAGCAAAGACCATTATGGTTACCTATGGTTTGAGTAAATTGCCTTCTTCATCCATTGAAAATTCAGCTATTCCCAATTGTTATACTAACTATGTTTCAGGTTAGGTAGAGCCAAACTATAAACCTCATTATACCTCACTGAAGGTGAGGTGGTCCTTCTTCTCTTAAACTTGTAGTGGGTAACAACAACGTTACCTCAAATTTAACTTACATTATCTCTTATTCTCCTTGACGTTACGATGAACTCTCCACCCTCTATGGCTGCTCTGAGCATTGACCCTCTTAAGCCTAAACTACTTATCATAGAGGGAGAAAGTGCTGCATTATCAACACGTACCTGCAATGCCACCTAAGCACGTTTAGGTTCCTCGCTCCCCCAGGAACACACCCCATTCCCGGGGGCCAGCTACAGGTAGCCTCCTCAACACACTCTCCTCTTCTCAACCACCTCGGCCAGAAGTACGGCCCTAGGTCGTTCCAAACGAAGCGGATTGGACATGTGGCTCTGCGGACGAGCCATGACTTGACCAGCTCTCGGTACTCTGGTGGCAGCCCCTCGGGGAGTTGCAGCTGATCTGCCTTTCCTGAGGTGGAGTTGTTGAGGAGTGCTCGCAGTGCGCGAACTGTCTTCCTCTCTGGTTCATCCTCTGAGTCCTGCAACAGAAGAGTATGTGAGAAGGCGAGGAGGATGGTTATGGAGAGAAGCAAATAAGAAGATGGATACGACAAAAAGAAGGAGGTAACCAAATGAAAACCACATAGGAAAAACATTAAAAAGACTGTGTTTGGAAAGGTTGAAAAAGAGGAATACTAGTTTGGTTAAAGGAAAGTGAAACAAATAACGTAAAATTTTTGAGTAAGGATATAAGAAGACAAGGAAAAACTAATAAATTTACTAAAAAGAGATCAATAAAATAATTCTTTTTATGGTAAGAAATAAAGTAACAAAATAGGAAAGTCCGACGCCATTAACAGATTAGAATTAGGAAAGAAATCTTTGATGGTAATTAAACAAGAGAAAAGGGGAGAAAATTATGAAATTTTATGAAGGAGGTGAGTGTGAACATGGTTTAAACTCAATGTGAGAGTAAATAAAAGATGTAAAACTAAGAATAATACATAGTAGAATTATTTTACGTTCGCCCTTATCTTAAAAAGGTATTCTTTTGTCATACCGCTAATAAGACATGTATAAGATTGTAATGGGAAAATGATTTTAAGAGGTACAGACACATCTTCTTTACAGGTTTGATAACTAATAACTTGATCACCATCTACATAAATATGCGTTTAACAAATTTAAAAAATCAGACATACATTAATTTCTTCATCGTAAGAAATTGTGAGGCTTGTAAGAAATGGCCATGGTCCTAAATTAACAAGTGGCTTCATTCATTTCGTCCATTCATAATCAGTACACAGTTTTAGGCTTTCGCCGTTTTCGTAGTCATCCAACAAGAGAACTCAAGATTTTGATCACTATGATTGCAGTAGATCGTTCGTTTCGTTAGTAATACAGCACTGTATTCCAACAAAAAGACTGAACCCACGGATTTAATAATACTCATCAAACATTTTCCTTCCAAAGACATCAAACACCATTTTACTCAATTGTTTGCTCTCAATCCATCAAATCCAGTTTTTTATCACGTCGCGATGAGGCGTCGATGCAGGACATCCGTTAGATGGAGACACCAGACAATGGTCGTAATAGAGCAATAGCAAGACTGGAGGAGCGGCTCACTGCAGTGCTCAGTGTACTCCAGGACTTGTCTTGCCTTACTGGACAACGTGGGATGTGGGTAGCACAGGTGGACTTGCCGTGCTTTATTGTGGCATAAAGGCAATCATCCATTGAGTAGAGGTGGAATTGCCCGGCGCGCGGCGCGGTGGCGCAAGACGCTTCATGATGTGCAGTCCTTGTAAAGGCCAGTGATGTGGCTTTTTTGGATTTTCTCACTCAAGAGTTGGGCAATATTTAGTTTAATTGAACTTTGCTAGTATCGTAGTGGAAATAAAAAAGTATATTTGAATAAGTGCCTTTATATCAGTTCTAAATACCGTATTTATGACCATGGATCGACTGCATATTTTTTCAACTAATTTTAAGATTACAAAATCTTTATGTTGTTACACTAAAAACGTAGTATTTAAATTCAAACAACTTTCGCCTTAGATTGCAATACTGTATGTCATTGTGTTCAGCAATTTTATAATAAAGAACAATCGTTGGAGGCTGTGCTTCTTCCTGATATGCCATTATTCTTACACAGTGGTTAGAGCTCAAGCCCTCTTTCTTGAAGGCCCGGGTTCAAATCCTACAAAATACCAATAATGCCTACGGCTTTAAGCTATGTGACTATGTCGTAACCTAACCTTTAGCGAGACTTGTTACAATTGTGATGAACGGTATCTCACAGTCATCGCAGGAAGTGAAGAAATTAGGATGCATCGCTTGCAACTGGTACGTGAACCTGTCGCATCTAGAGGATTGTAAATTGTCTCATACTCCCAACTGCTGTCTCTAGTTGAATCTCTAATTGTTGGATATAAATCTTATTCCGATGTTGATTCTTCAAATTATTTATCATATATCATCATAGAGTAACTGAATCATTATCGTTTTTTTACGCAAAGTATTTCGTTATTTCTTTGCAAAATTAACAGTTTTAGTCCACTTGGATAACCCCAAACATGTATTATTAAAGATATTTTGTTAAAAATTAAGGAAGATTGCTGCGTATACAGTACGTAGTTATGAATGTATCTCCTGAAGGCTTGGAACCATCGGGTAGCCGATTCGGTAAAATTTGTGTCTGAAATTCAGAAGGTTGTCTGTTCAATACTGAGATTAGTCAGAAGTATGTTTATGTTTCAAAACTGGTTCCAAGTGGCCTCGTTCATTAGGCATAAATGACCGAGACTAAAGAACCAACTGGTCTTGGTCAGTAACAAAGTTATTGTCCCACTAACTCAACAGGCATCATCACTTTTCATTGCTAGGCCTACCCTACGTAGCACCCTTTTCATGCAGGATTGTTTACTGTCGACTTTGTTTTAAAAGTAAACCAATCAGATATGCTATATTGGATTTAATTCGGAGGGTAAAGTAAATTAGCTAAAACTATTGTAAACAATAATAAGTGTAGTATCTTTAAGTACTAGTAAGTAAGTATACAAATCTTACCATTGATTTTTGTACAGATTAATAATATCAAGTCATTCAGAAAGATCAAAGCAAATGACAACCATAATCATCCTTACAGTTATAATATACTACATACGGTCTTGAAATGTCCTTTGTCATACATGGATTTCACGCTAGTAATTTACCAAACCAAACTCACACTATTGGCATTATGCCTGGCGGTGCGCATCCACCGTGGGTCGTAGTCCTGGCCGAGAAGCGTGAGGAGGGTGGGCTCGTGAAGATCCCGGCGTCTAGGCTTGAGCGCCGACCTGCGGGAGTTGGCCCAGAACTTGAGTGGGAGAGTCAGTGGCATGTCAGGACCCAAGAGGAGAGCAGGGGACGCGACCAGGCCGGTGTGGTCAGGGTCTTCAGCCACACAGTGGACAGCGAAGTAGACGGTCAGGGGAAGAAAGATGTGCCTCGGAAGTAACTGCATCTGTGGAAAACAAGATATAAAATAATTGGGGACGAATATAATGGAAAGGTGTGAATGTCAGAGCCCTCAATTGCTAGTACTTGTCAATACTAATGTTAATGTGTGTTAATGTTAATGTTACTAGTATTAATGCTACAGTCACCGTTCACAGAAGTATTTAACATCGAAATAGACGATCAGAGTCAGAGAAGGAACAGGTGCCTCAGGTGTAACTGCATCTCTGGAACGACAAGAAATTAAAAAAAATCGTGAGAAATGAAATTACAAGCCATGCAGCATGTCGTGTTTAAAAAAGGGTTGTTGGTTCGATCCTGAGAAAGGTTTGTAGCTTTTCTTGGTTCAAACCTAAACCCGGTTGTCCTGTTTTTGATTGTTGGACTTTTTCTAAATCGTTCTAACACTTGAAACAGCTGGTCTTACTCAGCAACAAAGATGCAAAGGCAGCTAGCTCACGCCATTCTACACCCATCATTCACTCATAAGTTAAAATGCTCATCTAGGTGGCGTCTACACAAGGCCCCTCTAGAAAAAACTAGTGGGGCCTTGGTCTACATCTCGATGTATTGTTATTGTTTATCTACCAACATCATCCTCGGACAGACATCCTCGGACGATTGTATTTGGTTGAAGTATTGGACCAGAGGATGAAACAAGACCCTCCGGGCTGACTGCATACAGGATCAACAAGCTACGAAAGAACCGACGACAAATAGAATAGCAAGATGAGTAGAATCACAATATTCAGAAGGTATTAGTATGAAAGAAACAGATTATTTAGCAGAAACAACTAGGTGCATCTGCGGAACAACAAGGTGTGAAGAAGTACCAATCACAAATTAATAGAATGGTAAGGCGAGCAGTATGACAGGGGTTTCAGATTTTAGTATTTGGCAAAGAAGTAAAGTGTCAGAGGATGAAAGAGGTGCCTAAGGAGTAGTTGCATCTGCATAACCCGAAGGCGTGTAAGAACTGTTACTAATGGCATGGCAACGTAAGCAGGATTTCATGAATATCGTGAGTTGATTAGTGGATAGTGAAGTAGGGTGTCATAGGAAGCAATAGGTGCGTAAGAAGTATCAGCATCTGTGGAACAAGAAGGCGTGAAAGAACTGGTGACAAATATAATGAGAAGGAGAGAAGAATGTCAGGGTCTGATGGTAGTGAGAACAGATGGTCAGAGGATAACAACAGGTACGTTGGGAGAAACTTCATGTATGGAACAACAGTTTGTGAAAGAGTCATCAGTGATATAGGAGTGAGGAGACAAATTATTAAGCTGTACATTTAGGCTCCTCAGTCAGTATAAGTAGATGGAGTAACTGGTGTAACATATAAACCACGTTTATCCAACTATTGAAAAGACCAACATAACATCACGATCACTCACTGAGGGTGTCATAAACATTATAATCGTTTCAAATTTGAACCTTCCAATCGATTACAAACGTTATCCATTGCCCATAATTGTTAAGATATATTGCAATCCTAACTGGCTTTTATCAACATTGTTAATATATCATAAAAAGTCAATATCTTCAAACTTGTAAGGGCAACAACCTGATGACTAAATTGAAGAAGGATGTGAAAATTGAGCAGAGGCGATACGGAGGCGTCAATAGAGGAGCGTGGACACTAGACACACACTTGAAATTCTGAACACACGACTTTGCAAACACTGAACTCTGGTCAGTGTTGGTTCTGGGGAGAGTTCGTTCTGGTAGCTGTTGTCGATTGGAGGGATAGACGTGTACATTTAGTATAATAATCAAGCTGGATTGATTTAGAACTCAAATGCCATTTATCATAGGGTCGTAAATTTATCATGCTGAATAAGAAACAAACCTCAAAATTAGCAATAACTTAAACTCACGATTTAAAAATTACAATTTCAAACAAGGTAAGATTTTAAACAAGTTGGATATTTTGTACAGCAAAACTTAACTAACTTGATGTTTTGAGCACTGGAACAAGATTCGATTCGGAAAGTTGAACGAAATGAGCTCGACAACCGTTCTTACACCTACAGACCTCGATGGCTTTCTCCGGTGTGGGAGGGGCGGCGGCGGCTGGATTTATAGCCTAGACCCTGACCCTACCAAACCTCAGCTTGTAGAGCGCAGGAGTCTATAAGGTATCAATGCAAACGCTTTGGAACAGTGTGTATAGGTATTTGTAGCTTTATGTTGCAATTTCTTGTACGATTGTTGACTCATTTAAGAACGGTCAGTAGGATCACGATAGTTTGAAATTTGACCTAACATTTCCTTATCGTTTAGCTTTTAATGGTTGGTCAAGGTCAACTAAAAACAATCGTCTTTGCCAGAAACAAAAATACACAAGGCATATCACTCAATCTTCCATTCAACCTTCAAGTTCAGCTTGATATAAAGCAACGTTAAGTAATTGGGTTTGTGAAATTGAATATTTGCTACAATTTCCCACGTTCCTCATCATTTTTTATATTATGCTCATCACAAGATTTTTACAAAATGGAAGAAAGCTGTTCTTTAACGCCCCTTTTGTTTAGTTACGCTTTACATTTCGTGTAACATAGTAAATTGAAGTAACCTTTAATATTATGTGCAATCAACGATCTTCCAGTAAACGCTACTTAGTTAACAAACTATTGTTACGAGGCCCTTTCATTTGTAATTCAAATCTCCTTTGATATATCATGGACAAGTTGATTTCTCCCACAAATACAATATGCTTTCTAAAGGTTCAAATCCAAGTTGGTCAAGTGCTTTGCAACGCAGGAGTTTATTTAGTGTTGCGCTGTTCTTACCCTAAAGAATACGAGACTTTAACATGCAAAGTTCCCACCTAAGTCTCTTGTCTGTGCCCAAGTGATCTATGAATTAAGAACGCTTCTATGATTTGATATTGAGTTTTTGTTTACTTTTTTCATTGTTGTTTCCCCCTAAAAAATACAAAACGATAACGATAACACCTGTGGTACGTGAAATCTGATACATATCCATTGAAATGGATACCAACAAATCCCACAGAAAAATTCCCATCCCCGTACTCTCCCACAGACTCCCTCGACTCCCGAGGCAAGTGCAACTCCGCTCTGGAATGTTGTGTTCGAGATTTATTGCTGCCATCAATCCATGCAAATAGCTACTGATTATTCACACCTCTATCAAGATTTTACTGAGAGCTGGTTCTCACACGCAGCAGTTTCCATTTGAAGACTGGCGTTTTCTTCGGTTCTTAAACGTCAAATCGGCTTACAATCTAGTTTTGATTTTATTTTAGTTTGCGTGATAGGGAGGTTTGTAAGGAATGTTTCCTACAAGTGGAAATAGTGATATTTTAGGAAAAGGTAGTATTACATATTCAGTTTTTTTAGTATTTTACTTGTTTAAAGGTGTGTTGCTGGCTTAGTACCTGAAAGCCTTGGACTTAAGTGCTAGAGCTCGATCACCGAACTATCCACATAGTGAAGAGCTCAGTATTCTGCCTTACGACTTCCTAGTCGAACCTACTTGACTTAGAATGTCTCTGCAAGGAGAGTCTTACTATGTCTGATGCTGGAAGTTTCACTGGTAGTTACTAGGAACTATTCGTGGACAGCAATGAGATCAACTAGATCAGCACAGTTGTTTTTTTATAGTTTGCAATGAGAATATACGGTTAAGTATCATTTTTTACACGATCAAGTACGAAGCTTTTGTGAACTAGAAGGACTCAGAAAAACATAAAACATTTCAATAGATTAGAGGAGTATCAACCACACTCAAGACACATAAATCAATATGAAAACTACAGCATGGAACAACATGTTGTTCATTAACATAGAATTTGTGCGGTCATCAGAGAGCAACTTTGGAGCTACCGAGGTCATCAGGGCGATTCCCATGATAATGCCCAACTCTGACTCACCATCAACAGCTGCATAATGAGCTTCTGCAGCTTTTCTGCCTCTGTTTGTTTACACTTTACAAAAGTATAATTTTTTTATGTTACATAAAGATATTCACTATTTGGCGTATTTAAACTTGCGAGTGAAGGATTAATTACTTCAAATGGAAGTGAAATCAAGTAAAGCTACCTATAGCTTTATTACTAATTCTAAATTTTCTTAAAGCCATGATTATTTATCAAAAGTCTAACGAAGAAGGGCACCGGGCCAAAGTTCAAATTATAAATGACTACCTACTAATTTACTTCAGGAGTGAGTACTCCTCCTACTGTTTCATTCATGTATCATCTTTCGAGTTGGAAGGGAAGGTTGAACAAATAGTTCAAAGCTAAATGTTAGCCAGTTCGATCCTGAGGAGTCCGGTTCGTAACTGAACCTAGCCGTTCTTCATTGTTGAACTTTCTTAAATAAACTTAAAGCCGTGGCGTACAAGTAGGTTTTGTTGATAAACCCAGTGTATTCCTGTCAAGTTCAATACAAATTACCGATGTTTATTTTCTGGTTGAAGTGCTGAACTGCGCCGAACGTCTGGTTTCTGTAACTTTGCGGTTGTTGAAGTCAGTTATTTTAATCACTTCTGGATTTACAAACAGTTCGTGGCGCCAACAGCCACTGCACCTTTCGCAAACGTTTCAGCTTCTGCCATCTTAATTTGGACTGCAGTCCGTCTTGCTGCACTCGTATATTATTTGATTTAAATATATTACACGGTATTTTTTAAGCGGAAATAGTTCTATTGTCGTTAAGTTGCAAACTATGTTAACTAATTCTATGGAACTTTGAACATCTATGGCCTTGATACAGTAAGGGGTTTCTCTGTTGCACCCCTTTTCCAGCCGTCTTAACAGATTTTTATAAATGAGGTGTCAGTTTAAAGCTTCTTATCTACCAAAATAACGAATGGTAACGAAAAAGGTGATATCCTTCAGGGCTTTTCCCCTCTAGTGGTTGATTTATTTTGAGAGTTTGCTTTCAATGATCCAGTGCTGACCAACCTTTTTGTAACGGTTTAAATGTTAATCCTTATATATAAAACGTGAAGGCGATTTTTACGAAACACTACTCCTCCGTT